AAATGATATTTTGTGGACAGATTTATCTCATCAATATCTCGATAGAGTTCGAAGATGAGAAAAATTCGTCAAGAGATGACTTTTTTTATCAGACGATCCATTGAGGCAAAGTACAAAGATTTAAAGTATACGTAGATCGGCTTAGTTTTTAACAAAATCATAGATTTCTAACGAAATATTGCCCGAAAAGCAAAAACTGCGTGCAGAAAACAGACTGTCTATATAAACTGCAGATTTATTTCTACTTTCATGATTTTTGAAATGACTGATTTTGTATTTAGTCGGAAGAATTTATCATATATCTCTTATTTATTGATGTGTGATGATAAAGATGATACCGATCTGTAAATAAGCTATAGTTATCTTCACCTACCCTAGAAACAAAATCTTATTTCCTTGATTCCTTGTAAATGAAAAAATCTTTTCTTTATTACTTACATTCGTTCATCAAAGGATGACAATAATGCAGTCTCTTCATTTTTGAATACAACTCTGCAAAGAGTTCAGCATAGAGAAATAGTGATGCTCTTTTATCAAATCAAGTAATTATTCAGTGATTGAAAATATGAATTAAATCAACTGACAAATTTATTATTAACAAGTACAGAATTATGTGTTCTCGGGTGTTTCAATAGTGCGTTATGTTATACGACAATATTGAAAATCATTAATGATTGATGTTTTTAAAATTGAGAAAAGATGACCAACGCAAGAATTTACTGTACATTGCATTTCGGAATATCCGATGCTGCTCTATTTATTCTTTCACAATCAGATTTGGTGATGGCAATTATCCTTCGTATCATTCGGCGGATACTTACGTCAACTATGATATCACATCTCAGTATGTCAACAGCACTTTGGGCGGCATCGGTTCCGATTTTTATGTTACTATACATTTCGGTATACTATCGGCTTTGCCGCAATTTCATTTTGCAACAGACCATGATTATCCTGTATGAGATCCATTTATTATTAGTATTGAAGGAAGTAATGGAGGAGACTGAACACAAGGTACAAGTTGGACACTCATTTATAATAGGTCGACTGGAGTACAGATTGATTNCATTCAAAGACAATCGAGTACGATATAATTTAGCTTGCCAATCACCTTTAACAGCTCGACATCGATATTTATATGAACGTTGTTTTATTGTTCCTCCTCCCAAGATTTCTGGTATAGATTGAGGCATATCATATTGATTACGACGACCATTGAAATAACCTTCACAAATACAATGTAATTGACCCCATACTAATTCACCACTATGACAATGAAATAATAAAAGATTAGAATCAAAATCATTATCAGAAGAATTATCCATCTAAAAGTAAGAACATATTTTAATTACTAAAAGGAAATCATCATACACAAGTACAAAATATTCTTGAAGAAAAGAAAAATAGACTACATAAAAGATGCACGCTATATAATGAGTCGTCGTAAGATAATCCAAACAATAACAATCGAAGAGATATGCATGACATACTTCTGTCCATAAGAGGTCAGACCATATCAATACCTCTGCACTTATATACAAAGAGATTATTGTCTGGTTTTGTTTTACCATACGAAGATCAAATCTCGTAATTAAGTACGAATTATTTCAATATTTTTCTTTTTCTTCTTTTTTTATACTTTTGATGATTGAACATTATACGTATTTATAAGAAAAACTTGTTTTAGATATAATGACTCACGTTTATAATTATTTTAAATAATTCTAAGCAACTGAAATCAGATTTTACATTACAGAAAATATATTCTCATCAAAAGATAATAAATTGTTATTGGTGTATATTATACAATATAAAATCCTAAAAGACAAATAGTCGATTCTTGTTATGAACAAGTCTAGATGAACTAACCAGATGTAATCAAGTTCAATTGAAAGAGTTAGTTTAAAAGTTCTGACCGTGGATTGAAAACGTATACGCGGCATAGATCAAAGTATTTCAGGACACATTGCAGAACATACTGCGTCGAGACCATTAAAAATTCCTGTACATTCTACCTCGCAAAAAATACGACCGAACTTTTCTACAAAATGTTTTCATTAAATTTCTCGAAAATAATACACATTTATGAATATATTCTTGTTGATAGATCAACAATTTGTCTATGATCCTCGCCAGAAGGAAATGTTTCTATTAATGGCGAGTATTTAGAATAACACCAGTAGTTGCTTGATCTTGAGTTAAAATTCCAAAGATTCTTTTAATGATATTTTTGTTATAAATTTGTCAATGAATTTTAACAAAAGAAAAGTAATAAAAATATTCACAAATAAGGAAGAAAAAAGAAATATGATTGTACTTCAGCATCGACGTCATACGGTAAGCCAGCTAGATGAGCTGTATCTATGGTTGTTATTGATTGAACGAGATAATTACAATTTATTCCATCATTATCAATGCTTCGACTGAACTTGTATTTATCGCGAAGTAGCCTTTTTGCCGGCTTTGCAGTTAAAATATTGTCATTGATTTGAATTTGCCGCAAAATCAAATTTCCAATTAACTCCAAACTTCAGGTACAGAACAATCTTTGCTCGTTGTTACATACAATATATCGTCGAGTCAACGCATCTGTTAATCTAAAATCATCACATACATTTCAGCGTGTTTTCTTTTCCTTTCTTTCTCTTCTCTATTATACTTGTTTCTCGTACTCATCTCATCACTAAGATTTTTCATTACATCATCATAACTATATTTGCCCATTTTATCATTCTTTTTCTTTCTCTACGGACAAAAGAAGTGCTTTATGTGTCTTTGTTCTATCTTCCAGCTTATGTATAACAACGATGCTACTCGTTGATTCTATCTTTTAGTGTTGTTCTATACAATAAATCTTTGTTACCAAAAAATACCATCGATAAAAAAATCAGCTCATTTGCTTGTAGTATAAAGGAGAATATTCGATTTCTTTTTGACTAAGTGACTTTTGTGCCTCTCTTTCTGTATATCAACTAAAAAAACATATTCTTAAATGAAATATTATTGTTATTATGGAAGTATTTAACAACGAGGAGAAATCTTTTCTGTATTAAAATCACTTTCTTTCCATCCTGTCAAAATTCTTTCTAATAGTAGTAGATGGGATACAATTGTACATCAAATTATATCTGTTTATCTCTTTTTAGTCACAATTAACATTTTTCTTGTTTATCATGAAGTTTTAGGAAGAGATGGATACATGAATCTGATCGATTCGCAATTCTTTTTCAAATACTTTATAATTCTTTGTTTATCACACATTTGTTTTTGTTAACACAAGTAGATTTTCATTAGTTTGTAACTAAAGAGAAAAAAGAAAGAACTGATTAGACTTCTTAACAATTAGAAATTCCCATCGATCAGTGAATTGTTTCTCGACACAACTTATCTTCCTCGACTCTCATTTATTCTCTTTCTTCCAACTGTAAAAGAACTGACAAACGCCAATCAGGGAAAGAAGTTTTGAACATAATGTAGAACAAGCATCTAGCTAATATGTTGCTTTGTTTATATGGAATAATTACATATGGTCAATGAATGATTGATGGAATTCTTTTGTTTCAACACAGAGAAAAGAAAAAGAAGTATTACGTTGAGTAATATGTTCTTTTCCAGTAGTTTTACATTGATTATACCATCAATGATAAAGATGGAAATTGTAATTCTGCTATTATTGATATTGAAATGGCAAATATTAGCAATGAGATACGAATCAAAAGAAGATATTCATGATCTTAGAGTGGCACTTAACGATCAATTTATTATTGCCGCTTCCAATGTTCAAAAAACTTATATAATTCATTCAATATCTAATATAATTTCAAATTCTTCGTGTATTATTAACAATCCATATAGAGAACTAAATATTCATGGTATTTCAATTTTAACAATGAATCAAAATAATCTCGTTTCATTTGTTCAACTTGCTGAAAATATAACATCTATGTCGACAATAATTTCTCAAATAACTCTGAATTTAACGAAATGTAACAATACTTTGAAACGACGAAAGAGTTTTCATCATACAATAGTTTGGGATAATGAACGTCAAGAACATATGTTTTTAAAAATTGATCCTCAACAAAAATTTGCTTATGTTTTTGCTGATTCATTTATACTTTCATATGACTTACTTAATAATCAAATTGATCAAATTAATCGAACAAATTCGATTATTTTTGGTAATAGTTATGGATCATTTACTCCTTATGCATTTGATTTAAAAAATGATTGGGCTGCTGTTGCTGGTTTTCATATAATTCAAAACAATTCTCGAAGTAAACAATGTGTTTATATATTTGGACTTCAACCATTACGTGTAATCAATGTTAGTTCAATTGGTTTAAACGATATGCAAGAATTTGATAGAATTAGTTTTAATCATGATTATGATATGTCACTTGCAATTAATCCTTCAGGAACAACATTAGCAATTGGTGAAGTTCAATTAAATCGAGTTACAATTGCTCATATAGATGGAAATGAAGAAGTTCGATTTATTTCAAATTTTATTCAAATGAGTGAATTTGATGTTTGGAATGGTTTTGGTCGTTCTGTTCTTTGGCTTGAAGATGATGAAACACTTGCTATACTCGTACTAAAATCAAGTAGTTATAATTCGTCACAATCAGAAATTCAAATATATAAAAATGTTGATCGTAATCGATCACCAGGTTCAATAATACCTTCTTTTATTATTCCAAATAATCAACAAACTTTAGATGGAATTCATCGATGGACATCTTCGCTCAAACTAACATTTCGACATATTCGAATACATTCAAATAATATCTTAATTCAATTAAGCAACGGTCATATTGTATATATTCCATCTTCCAATGCTGGATTTTGTTCTAGACAACTTCTATCAAATAATGCACGAAATTTTCATGTTTTACAATCGAAACCGTGTGTTAGTGGAACTTATAAAAATATATCTGGTCCTGGTCCATGTACGATTTGTCCATCTGGTACAAAGAATAATGGAACTCGCCCATCGATTCAATGTCAACCTTGTAAAACAACTGCCTTTTGTCCATTAGGTGCTAGTGACGAAGTCAATTTGACACATTTTCGTTCACATATTCAAACATTCAGTTATCCAGATACACCGAATATCGATGATTATGATGATTTATTATTATTAAATTTTTTTCCTACTAATCTAAAATTGACTTGTTTAGTTTTAACACCTCTTTTCTGGACTATTGTAGCGACAGTTTTATGTTTATTGATGTGGTTTATTATGTTTTTTATTAAACGGCGACGTCTTACTTCAATTGATAGTTATCGTCAACGAGTAAAAATTTTTTTCAAACATAATGATCTTATTGGAGAAGGAGAACGATGGATTGGTGGTCTCGCATCAGTCGTTATCTTTGCTATTATTATATATTCTACTATATTCGCTTACTTTTACCTTCATTCGTATCCTCTCGAAACCAGAGAAGCAGTCAACAAAAAATGTGATAATAATCAGCGAAATTCCAAATTTGACAATGCACTTCAATTACCGTTACCTGAACCTGATGGTACTTATTGGAAAATATTCGATATGCTTAATAAACAACCATTTACTATGACTGTACATTTGATTAATACACGAGCTCAATGTAATGATATCACTGTTGCACGTAATCGACATACAGGTGCTCCTCTATCGATAGTCGAAAAAAATTGTACTTTATCACCGAATAATGTCAGTGGTTCGTTCAGTTTTGATTTACCAAGTCATACATCATCTGTTAGAATTGATATCAATGGACCTTACTTTATTGGAGCACTTCGTCTTTGTTTATATGGAAAATCAAATATTATAAATGAAGATTCCATAGTACATCGATTACGCGAACTTGATATTTGTACTCTTTTTTATACGAATAATCAAACTATTGGATTATCGACTGCTTTTGTCGTACGTCTTATCAAAGTTATAAATGTTACAAGACCATTAGCACGTGATGATAAAACATTTTATGATGGTATATGGGCTCCATTTATAACTTATATGGATACTCTTTCAGATGAATTATATTTTGCAGAAAAAGGAGAATATTTACGATATGAATCGAAAAAGACAAATCTTGATATTCAATTTGCCGAAGAAATCTATTTTGTTCAAAATAATCAATCGCCAATTATTCGTCGTGGTGCACTTTTCTTTCATACAATTCTGTTTAGTTTTTCACTTATAGAAATTGTTGCGATGATTTTTCTTCTTTACAAGCTCTGGTTTCGTCCTATTCATCAAGATATTCGACCATCACATCATGATCTAGTCGTAAATGAATTTCGAACAAGTCAAACGCAAATATCATCCAATGTTAGCTTATTTTTCAAATATACTTATAGAAATACCTGTTTCATTTTTATTTTCAGTTGAGTTCACATTTATTACAATCACATAAACAACGAACATTACATACGAACGACGACGAACCTGAGGATCAACAACAAGTAAAAATTAATCAAAATGTTCATAACTGGCGATGTACAAAGAATAGTATAAGAAGACCAATTGCATTGAGAATTGAAGAAAGTTGGGATAATCCATTATCGTCATCCCATCCATTAACTGTGAGCGTTGATGTTTCATTTAATCATTTACCTTCTCAACACTCATCAGTCTGAGGATCGAATCTAATCAATAGTCCACATTATCATTTTTTTCGAACAATATGCGAAGAAAATAAACTTTTTGCGCGATAAATGAAAGTGTACACATTTCAAGATTATAAATTAATATTAAATGAGAGATGAAAAGTTCGGTCAACAATTTACACTTAAGAAAAGTTAGCAGTGAATTTGAGTATTTTCAGCTAATATATCTGCGGTGGATTCCGAGTAACATTCTCTATCAAATGATATCAATTGAATGAGCGTGTGTGTGTATATATAGAACCTAATTGAAGAGAGTTTTTTTCATGCTTTATCACGCATGTATGTATCCATTTTGTTCGAACCATTTTTTTGGAAATTGAATTTGTTATCTTACGGATCAGAAAACTATCCAACCCTCGTGAATTCATATTATCATCACCATCATCTATAACTTGTTCTTCAGAATCTGAAGATTCGAACTCTATTCTGGAAAATTCGTCATCTAAATTGCTCATATCACTCTGCGAGTCTTCATTTTCCTCTCTATATGTTTCGTCGAACAGTATACAAATTGCAAAGTTGGAAAATATGACTTTCTCTTGGTTTTCTGCTTCACTTACACCCTCAATTATTATTTGAGATTTCGGTTCTGGTAATTCTGTTTTTATTAACGGTTTTTGTAATATTCTTTGATTCTTTAACTAACATAAGTATTGAAATGAGTTACAACGAGTGTTTATATATTTTTTATTTTACGATGTTATACATGACATTCACGCTGTGTTTATCTCTTAGCAATAAGTAAAAAGCAATCAAAAGGCTACAAGAATTTCTTTTTTGTATAATTGAAAAGTTACTTTGTGATTTAATACAAATATCGGCACCCTTATAAACATTCTGTCACTTTCTTTCTTCAAACTTGAAATCACATTTATATTGAAGATTAAGTTATGACATAAAGAGAACGAATTTTATTATTATCGTTCAGTACACCATTCAAAATCATGGGAACTAATTTCTTAGTTCGGTCAATAGCAAAGTCTTTCCCTCTGACAATGTTTTCTTCAGAATTTTGTTAATCGAAAAACATGGATGTTCCGAAAGAATATTGTAAATGTTTGTGATTTTCGCTTATAAGAAAGCTGAGAATGACTCTCCAGCTATTTATCATCGAGAATCATAGCCTGAAGCGCTAAAAAAAACCTCGTGAAAAAGGGATTTTTTCCAATGATTTTATTCGAAAATAAAATTCTCTCAAATATTTTTTGTATTCATAAAATTCATATTAAACAATTGTGATTAAATTTGTCAAAAGAGAAAAGTGACATCTATTAACAATATAAATTGATTGGATATTGTTAATATAGAAAAGAAAGGTTTCGTAATTTGTTTTCGATACGATTGATTTTGATAATATTTTTTGTTTTGACACAAAAGAAATATGCCTGAACACAAAGTGAAAATATTTGTTAAAGCTCGTTTTGATGTTATTTGGGATAATTTAATTGACAAAATTTATCATCCTGAAAAATATCTCGATGAAATTCGAAGTGTTGAAATTGTAGAAAATGAATCTGATCATGTTTTAAGAATTGTTCGATTTCATGATTCAACATGGCAAGAATTAAAAGAATTAATTGTTTATGATAAATCAAGTGGAATTATTGTTTATCGATTAGTTGATCATCCATCATTTGAAGGAGAAACAATTAATATTTGTAGAACAACAAATGAAATTTATCATTCAGAATTACAATTTGAAATCAATTGGAAACTTAAAGATTCAAATCAATTCGAATCAGAACATGACAAAGAAATTTCATATAATAAATTACAAACTGCGATTCAACAAATGAAAACAATTTGTGAAGAAGCTGAATTGATTCAGAATTAAATCTCTTCACTTTGATTTCATTCAAAATTACTAGTCATTTATTAGAAAAACCAACACTTTTTTGCCTCAATTAAACCAATTAAATATTTTTTTTTTCTCAATAAATAAATCTTTATTCATGACTGAAGTGAATTTCATAAGTAAAAAACTCCTTTTTTCTTTTAAATATCTTTTTGATATTTTATGGGGAAAACAATGAAGTGTATCATTTGATGTTCATCAATGATANCGAAGAAACTTGAATGTTCTCGTTGATTAAGAAATTTTGTTGAATGACCTAATTGATTTGTTAAACAATCAGGAAAATCATGTTCACTTGAAAGATATTCATTTGAATAAGGTAATTGTGTTAATAATCCACAAAGAAGTCGAAAAAGAAATATAAATGCTTCTACAATAACAATACCTGGTCGTCGTTGCCAATATCCAATAACAAATATTGTATATATTAAAAGAAAATCAACACCAATTGTATTAAGAAAAGCCAACCAATGATGAAGAATTTGATGATTTTCTAAATAATCATGAAGTTTTTGTGTTATTTTGAAACCAAAATCAATCATTGAAAATGTTTCATTCATTGGTCGATGATCACTATGAAATTCAATAAAAGCGATCATACAAATCATTGTATATAAAATAATTAATGTTAATAAACGTAATGTCCAAATAAAACATTTTTTCCAAATTAAATTTTTGTTCATTTGAATATTTAATTCATAATATTTTGTTTTGTTTAAATGAATCATTTTTAACATTGATACAAATGAAATATTATATACAGTCAACATAATAATATCAATAGAAATTCTATGTATGATTTCAAAGAAAAGAAATCGTCTTTTATATGTGTTAACTTTTTTTTCGTTCTTTTCTTCAAATTTTTTTTTCGATAGATTTTGTCCAGACAATATGAATCAGTGGATAATTTCGAAAAGGAAGAGAAACTTCGATGTGTTTCTCATTCTTTTTCCACTTCAGTGGAGAGAAGAGGAACAATATTGTAAAACTCCACGAATGACACATTGAAATTCTCCTCTTTTTCTGTATATATATAAATGTCTTGTATACAAATTAATATTTCATCATATGAAATTGGTTTAAGAAAAAAACTCAAATGGCTCCACGTTTCGATGAATCGATTGAAAATGCTTGTACAAGTACAATTGCAAATTTCTTTAAAAACAAAACAATTTTTGTGACTGGTGCAACTGGATTTGTAGGAAAATGTTTATTAGAAAAATTAATTCGATCATGTCCAAGTATTTAGAAAATTCTATTAAATAGATATTTTGATTTCTTTTCAATTTAGATCTTCATCGAATTTATGTTTTAATACGAGGAAAACATAATATAACACCAAATGAACGTCTTATTCAATTATGTGCATCACCGGTAGAAAAAAAAAAAGATTGCAATTTTTCTTAGAAATATTTCTCTTTTATTTATATTTGTAGTTATTTGATACTGTACGTTTAATTAATCCAAATTTTGCATCAAAATTTCATGCAATGGAAGGTGATATAACATTACCAAATTTTGGTTTAAATCAAATTGATGAAACAATTCTTATTGAAAAATGTCAAATTATCTTTCATTCAGCAGCAACAATTCGTTTTGATGNAAAAGCGAGTCTTTTTCCTTTAGATAAATTTAATAAATTTTAAACAGATTTCATAAAAGCACCAAATTCAGTTTTATCAATTCTTCCATCATGATTGAGATCTGCATAATCAAACATTGCTGCTGCAGGATCATATTGATTTGAATTTTTTGCAACATTTGGTGCTCCAATGGCAACATCAGGACCAAGACTATAACGATGATCTTCTTCAGTAAGAATTCCACTTGTATATTTTTCATAAACAATCGGATTTGATGTAAAACCAGCAACAGCAATATCAAGACCAATTGAATATCGAATAATTTCACCTTCATCTGTTGACTTCAAATGAAAAAGAAGAATTTTATTGAAAAGAAAATCTTTTCATCAATATTTACTTTCAACTGTTGAACATTTTGTTGATCAAATGTTCCCTGATGATTTGTATTTGTATGATTCAATTGATTAAGAAATTTTTCGTTATTCATTATAAATGAAAAGAAATAATATCCAATTGACTTTTAGTCATTTAAAACCTTCGAGAACATTTACCTTCGAAGTCAACCGTAACGATGATTCTTATCTAAAAAGACAAAAGAAACAAAATTAAAGGACAAAAATTAATCCAAGGATATTTCATTCACTTTCTTTTGTTATTTAACTGATTAAGAATTACATTGTTTACGACAAAAGCGAACAATTTTTTTAATAGATCAATAAGCAAATATTGGATTCTCATAATGATCAATTATTCTCGAAATAACTACAAAATGCTTTATGACTGTTGTTGAATTTTTCATTAAAATTTATTTTTGAATCATGCAGAAAATATCAACATATTTAAAGTATCACTATAGTGAACATCAGAAGTCTTCGTTCTTTCATTATTTGGAAAAACGTTAAAACAAACCAAACTGAATCAATTCTTGCATTGAGATAAATTCTTTGTTGAAAATTATCAGACGAATAAAATTCTTCGATCACTTATATATATATAGACAGATAATGTTCAGTTAGAACTATCCAGGTTACATGTATATACTATAGGAATAATATCCAATTCTAATCTATTGAATGTTTTCCAACATGTTATGCATACGTTCTCTGATGAACCTCTCTTACATTGTCGTATTTGTTATGTAATGGATTTCTTCTACTTTCGTCATATCCATCCTTTACTGGATTTCTTTAGCCCGGTTCGTTTGTTATTTATCTTTTAAGTTAATATTCATCAAAGAATGGAACAAAATTCAAGACATTTACTTTTCGATTGGAATTTCACAATGTGAATATACTTTTCCTCATTGGTTAAATTTTATTTAAAAGAAAAATCTATTTGCCATCGTTCGCAGACGACATGTTATTGTTTATCTTAGTGTAACTGGTGACATGTTGGGAAAAAACCAACCTTTTATAAAGAAGAAAATATAAATAATGATCCATACTCATGACAGATTTCATAATTTCTTGGATTCGAGATCAAAGTGAGATTCAGTTTTTTATCTCTTCTTATTCCAATTTTTTGTAGTTCTCATTTTCTTTTAAAATAGAAAAACTGATTAAGCATTAAAAAATGGCAAATATTCCTAGTCTCATCATGTGGGGCGCAAAATCCGTCGAATTTCTACGAACGATTGCTTCCGAGCTCAATATGGAAAATGAAACAGATAGAGAGAGAGTATTCTAAATGCATATTTGAAGAATACAAATAATATTAATATACTTTTAAAACAACTCGAAACGAAAGGAAGTGTTAATCGTGTTCTTGTTATTGGTCAAACAGGT